CTGAGTGATTATCCATTAAACCAGCCGCAAAATTAACCTTACAGTACTTGGTATTCCCAAGCGGTCACCCATCTAGGTACTGACCAGGCTCGACGTTGCTTAACTAAGGAAACCTGTGTTTCAACGATAGATAGATATATAGATAGATAGTTACGAACAGAATGGGATAGATAGATAGATAGATAGATAGATAGATAGATAGATAGTATATATTCTATCAAGGAATGACCCATATTATAAATTTCTACAATGAATATGAATTTCTACTTTGAATGCCACTTTATTCATATATATGTATGTGTGTGTTTTTACGAAAGAAAAATTTCTATGTACATAATAAAACATTTTATTTCATTTTTTTTTTTTCGAGACAACTAAAACCTATTTTGCCCTGCTTTTAATTTCGGAATAATAATAATATAATCTAATAGCAATCACGTGACCTCCCCCTGAACTAACCTACTTACAAAGCAAATGATTTACCAAAACGTTTTCATTTGCTGTACTTCTCATTCGGCATGTAGCGAATCTACCAATTCGAGTCCTAACGGCTCCTTTCAAAATGTTTTTTTTTTTCAAGAAGAGTTCTTCAAATTGAACATTTCCTGTTTCGTTTTAATTAAACATGCAACCGGAACAATTATAAATTATAATAAATAAATAACGACACCAAACTCGTTGACTGGTGTCATTTCGTGTATTTTCTGCTTTTATCAGAATAGGAAACGATTTTTTTTTACAACAAATGGCATCGGAGAGAAGAATTTAAACGATTAATGAGGAAAAAGATATGAAACGCGGCGTTCGATCAAGAAACAAATGGATGCGTATTGCAACGTTGCTACTCTTTAACACACAGAAAAGTTCATTATGTCAGGAATTTCACATAAAGATTTTCAGTTTAAAAATGTTATATCAGCGTTCCAGACGTAATTATTTTTAAGAACCAACAAAATATTCGCCAAACAACGTTATCCGAGTTTCTTTTCATAATAAAACTGTTTGAGACTTGATATATATATATTTTGCTTGCTTAGAAAAAAAATAAACAATCTTTAAATTTCTCATAAACAAATTTCTAAGTAAAAACACGCGAATTCAGTTGTACAATAAAAAATAAACATTGGTTTGCTTTGTACAAGTGTCAAAAAAAAAATTAAAAGTACGTTTGGTTGGAACGAAAGTCAAAATGGTAGACATAGGTTTGGTTTGCACAAGCCAAAAATGCGTACAGTAAAAACGTAGCCATTTTTGTGGGTGTTATCCTCTACACGAAGACTGAGTCGTCTTGATCCCTACCGACAGGGCGGATGTTGTGTTGAGGGACAAAGTAACCAAGCTTAAATATTTGGAAAAGAAACTAGCGCTCTTGACATATTTCGTCACGACATTTTTATTTCCGAAACAAAACACTTCATTGTCTCATTTTTTATGCAAAGACGAAGGACTTAACCAAAGAATTCTTTGATATTAGTGTACATTTCTATATCCTAAAATTCCCCTGATACAATACTCGGGAAGGCTCCATTACAATATCCTAATATATCAAGCATCACTTTAATGCAGTTAAGATAGGTACCTCCAGGCGATCACTAAAAAAAGAGCATAGCATGATGGAAAAGACGCCAGACTTGACGAAAACAAAATTTTATCGTCTAAATGTTTATGTTATTATTAAGAGGAAAGATCAAAGTATTTTGGGGGTATTTTTTTACATTTTTTAATCGTTCCTACCACATCCGAAATTTTCGTTAAAAATCTTGTTTTTTTTGGGGGGGTTGAGTCAGCAAAATTGGCAGATAATCGATCATGGCAGCCATTTTTTTTCCATTTTATAAAAAATGAAAATGTCAGTTTGAAATTCTTTTAAAAATTAATTATCATTTTTTCAAAACTTATTTTCAGAAAATCAGGAATTATAATGTTTATTTAAAATATTTTGAACCAAGTTTAACTTAGCTTCTGCGCCGAAAAGATGTAATTTGAAAATAAAACAAAGCAGGTCATAAACTTTCGCGTCACTTGACAGGTGATGAATGACATATTGACGGATTCCGTGAGAATAATTCCTTCTACGGAAGGAGAGAAGTGAAGTTATTTACATTTAAGTGAACAAATTATTTACCTCGTTATTTTTAAGGAAAACTTTCAGCGCTCTAATTTTTTTTTCTTGTACTTAGTTTTCACCTTTATGTTTACGATGCTTTATGAAAAATATATTATAAAGAAATTAAAATAAGACTGTTAAGTGTGAGAAAGGTATCTAATTAATTTATAGGTACCTTTCTTATGAAATTTTATCAGAAGTGTACATAAATACTATAATTTTATGTACATTTATTACATTTTACTGTGTTATTTGTATTTCCATTCATTTTATTATTAATTTTGATATTTTATTTATGAAAAAATGTCATAACTGAGATTAATATAAAAATAAGATCATATAAATTTCATAAGATGATACTGATACTTGTAGGTACCCTTCTCAGTTAAAATTGAAAAATCAAATTAACTTCTCCACACGTGTTTCGCAAAAGTAAAGGCCTTAACAGCGGAGAACAATGCTTAACTCAAATAACCCAACTTAATTGTATTCTGGTTGATCTTCTGTACTTTATAATTACAGCCCGATTATAAACACAAAATTACATTTCTTAATTACTGCGGGTCTTCTGATTAGTCAAAACGATACAATTTACAACGCGCTAAAAAAAGGATACTTACGAAAGCGGATGCCGCTTTTAACTAATTTTATAATATTTTAACAACTTAAATGAAAAAATCTATTATAATTGAAGAAATAACAAATAATTGTATTAAAAATTCATTTTTCATCGAAAAACTTTTTTTGCTTTCAGAAAACATTGTCCATATTCATAAAAACAACTAAAAGCAAATAAAAGCATTTGAAATTAAATAATATCTTTGTTTTATTGAGTTTTGTATGTTAAAATTCAGAGCTGATTTTCAGGTAGGGGGGGTCAATAAAAAAAAAAAAAAAAAAAACATGATTTGCATTCCTCAAAGCCTTGTGCATTTAACTATTGTAATCACTAAATTGGACTCGATCAAATTTCTAGAGTTTTCATAAAATTAGTTATGGTGGGTAATAAATATAAAAAATATTTCTGCCATGACTTTAATAATAAAAAAAACAAAAACATATTTATAATAGTTTCCATCAGCTGTGAATAGTTTCTGAAAGTATGACACACATTAATTTGAAAAATCTTTCAAAAATAAAAATAATTGACGGATTTAACATCCGACAATTATTTTTATTTTTGAAAGATTTTCCAAATTAATGTGTGTCATACAAAATAGACGTGCTAAAAATAGTATTTGTTATTTTACTAGTTCCGGTGATATAAAGAGAAACAAGGTTTTTTTAATCAAAATTTAGAATGTTCTAAAAAGAAGGAAAAATTTTAAAATAATTAAATAAAACTTTGGTCTTTCCTCTTCATAATAACATAAACATTTAGACGATAAAATTTTGTTTTTCGTCAAGTTTGGCGTCTTTTTCATCATGCTATGCTCTTTTTTTTAGCGATGTCGTGGAGTTACCTAAGTTAAGAACTATTCATTTTGTTTTTTCAGGATTACTATGTTGATGTAAAGAATGCATTTTTATTACACGTTACGAATTCTTTAAAAACAAAAATATTCTCGTTATGAGGAAGTCACATATCAAAGTGACTAACATCAAAAACTGGTTTTTCAACGCTTGATTTAGATATTTCGAATATGTAGGCAATGTCTGTCGTTGATTATTCTCAAGTAATGTTTTGATTTGATTGCTATGAATCCCACTTGTCTACCTAACCCTGAGGCCACATTTATCGAGAAATCGCTAACATGAAACTGTCGACTGGGCAATAAAGCTACTAATACGCAAGGGGTTTACTTAGTGTGAAAGAATATGAGAAAAAGAAAAAAAAAACATTATTAAGGAAATAGAAGAATAAAAGAACCGGAATTAAGAAGACAGATGATAACGATTGACATTGCATTTAAATTTATGAAGGTCAAACTTGACTGGGAAGGAAGAGGTTGTAAGAGATTTCCACAAGCGAAAAGTGTGAGAAGAAACTGTTAGCATAGAACTTACGGTTACATTTAGCCATTGAGTAAAGTGATGAGACCTAACTGCCAATGTAGTATTGCGTTTAAATTCATAAAGTCGAGGTACAAAGGGGGAAAGTTCATCAAAATAATTACCATGAAAATATTTATAGAAAATGCAGAGGGAAGCTACGTTACGGCAGAGGGGACTGAAGCAGGTCAGTACCTTCTCTATTAAGTGCTTAAAGCATTTTATATCTGATATGCATTTTTAATTTTCTTAAGAGGAATAAATAGAGTGCTACTGGTACCAATGTACGGTGCCAATGCAGTAATGACACACGGCATCGTTGGATGGAGGACTTCCTTCGCTGAAGTCAACGGCCAGAGAGGAGGGTTTCCTCTGCTGGAATCAACATCCACGTGTCCGTGACCAAGAAGAGCCAAGAGGACAACAGCAGTGGTATGGTCTGTAGAGAGACGGGTCCTGTTTGGCTTTCAATCCAGATATGTGAAGAGAACTGATCAGGTGCTTTGCTACTCAACGATCATACGACCACACCCAGTCATGGCACTGATGATGATGATGATGATGATGATGATGATGATGATGATGATGATGATGATCAGAAAATGTTACCTATTTTCTTGCTTCTTCAATGTTAGACTCAATACGCCATATGCCGATATGACAGCTGTCTCAATATAAACAAAACCGATCTTTTACATCTAGTTAAAACTAGACGTTCCCAACTTTTTTTTTTTTTTTTTTTACCACGCAATGCATTCATTGTGCTCAACTTTTGTTCTGCTCGAGTTGGGGGAGGGTGCATCGACTTCGTTTGCTTTGGTCGGTTTCAGTAAAACTTTTATAAATCATGTGACAAAAGTATGGCAGGGATTGAACTCCCTTTCACAATATCCTTAAATTAATGAAATGTTTTCGTTGGAATTTTGATTTGTTTGGTCTTTTCTTTAATGAGTCTATTGTAGTAAAAATGATCAAAATCTTGATATTCCATTATTTTTTTATTCTTCCAAATCAATTTCAGTTCTTTAAATCTTTCCTCTTCCGATATGGACTGCTACATCAGTTATGAATACATCTGTACATAAAGAGAAACTCTTGCAATTATTATTATTATTATTATTATTTGTGTATGCCATGTTTTCTGCTTTTTATCCTGTAGAGCCGGGTCCAAACTATGGTCCTTAGGCCCTATAGGAGAATTGTCATTTAACTGATAGCACTTTTCTTAGTATATGAGATATTCCTTGTAGGGTGATCTTCTGGGCAATTTGTATGTTGATGTTGCCAGGGACACTGTTAGTAAAATTGTCCATTCCTTTTGTCACGGGGCCCAGTGCTCCGATTACTATTGGTACAGTCTTCATTTCCCACATCCTGTAAAATCTCAATCTCCAGGTCCTTGTATTTGGACAATTTCTCGATAATTTTCATGGCGGTGTTTCTCTCAGATGGCACTGCTATGTCAATAAGCATACATTTCCTGAATTTCTTGTCTTTTATAACAATATCAGGTCTGTTGGCTTTTATTTCCCTGTCAGTTTGAATTGTTATGTCCCTGAGGATAGTTACATCGTTATTTTGGGTAACTGTGTCTGGTTGGTGATCACGTCATCTCTCGGTGGTTTTGATTTTGTACTTCTTGCCTATCTTCCAGGGCACATTTGTCGCTACCTTGTTATGTCTGTGGGTATATTCATTTTTTCAATTTTTGCTAGTTCCTTATTATTATTAATATTATTATTATTTGCATTGATTTCTGTTGTATACACATTTACTTCTGGGTCCCAACCAGAGACCTAAGGTCATGGCTTCATAACATGTTCCACTGATCATTTTTTAAAAAAACAAAAAACCCTAAGAGCACACACATTTTACATAGATAAAGCTCTTCGTAATGTTTGAGCTATACTTGTAAGTACATTTTTTTGTATTTCTTTAAGGCATGGGCCACCTAAAATCTCTTCAATGAGTCTATCGGAACCTTTTCCAATCAATCCGAGCGCTCCAAATACAACTGGAATTACTGATGTCCTCATGTGTCATATTTTTTTGAGATTTCCACTTCAACATCCTTGTACTTTGGTAGTTTTTTGAAGATCTTCAAAGACACATTACAATCTACAGGGACTTCCATGTCAATAAGAAAGGTTTATTATTATTAATAATTCCAGCGCTTGTAAATTATTTCGATAGATTTTTTAAATGCCAATGATTTCATACTTCAGATTGTAAACTACTCCTTTTTGTAAACATTAAATGTTTGGTTTTACAACAAATTCAAGTAAATAAGAAATGGAATAGTATATACGATGATGGATCATTAAGTCTGTATCCTGACACAACTAGTAGTTAAATTTTAGATTAGAAGTTTTCACTGCATAATCGTCAATTTTGTGAATAAGAAACACCCTATTAAATGCATTAACAAAGGAATGTATTATGTTGAAAAAAAATATTTGTTGTGTTAAAAATAAATCCTTTTGACCCTATTAAGCTTAGAAGCTTATTAATTTGTGGACGGATCTTAGATGCCGCAAATAAACATAAATCATTTCTCGAAAATGTCCCTCTTTTTTTCAATTAAAGAGGATTTTTGGTTAAGTTGCCAGATTCTAAGAAACAGAAAAGCTTTTTGTCATAGTTTTCAGAATCAGTTATATTATCAGAGCATGTGGATATATTGCAAATTTGAATTCTGAACAACTCATCGAATCACAAGAAATTATTTTGTTGCTCTTAAAAAATATCTATTTTCTGTGCGTTAAAGTGAGTCACTTTCACAAAGGAATTACAATTCAATAAACTGCACGAAAACAACTTTTGTTCTTTTTTTTTTCGATACTTTTATAAATACATCACACCTAACTTCTACTCGTTCTCTTTTATAAATTATTTTTCTCTCATCCTTGACTTTTCTTTTATTCTTGCTTTGTCATTTCATCATTTTTTTGTTTTTGCTCTATTTAGTTTTTTTTACTGTTTTTTTTTTTACATTACAACACACATTTTTCCCCTTTACTTCAAGCTGACATTTAGCCTGTTTGTTTCGCTTGACCAGGAATCGATCCAATTTTACAATCAACGACGTTCTATTGCTTACGGCAACGCAATAAGTGTAATGGTAATATTCATCCAATAATGTTACAACCGATTGTGTTTGGGAAGATCGACGTCATACTCGAAACGTTCATCAGAATTGAAATGAAAAGAGATATTCCTGAAGCGATCCTCTAGTGTTTTATTCCGAACGTAAGCAAAAAAATATTAACTTCCAGTAAGTTTTCTTTTTTTATTGGTAGTTAATCACTTTAATTCCTTTCATCGTGCGTGTTTTATTTAATTTTAAATTTTAAATCTGAGATTGCAATGAAGTATTGTCCCGGCAACTAGGACGATTGAAAGAATCGTTCATGGCAACATAGATGCTATTAGGTATTTTGATATCCGGCATGACACAAAATAGAGATGCTATTATGATAGCAAATGATCAATTTATAGAAATAATATTTCTATATACATCAATCAAGAAAATGATAAAAACTGCGTAAACAAAAGAAGAAATTTAGTTTGGCTAAGTTACGTAGTTAGAGCTTAAAATTCAGTTCTATAAGTTCTTTATTGTTACAACATTTTTAAATAAAAAAGTGTGAAAAGTTCATTCACAATGACGCATAGGCAAGGATGGTTGTAGTCAGTGTAGTTTGTGCACACCAACCAATTTCTTCTTTTAATATTTATGCGTACACGTGTTAGAAAAGAACAGACGTTAATTTGCTACGACGGTTTTTGTCAAAGACTGGTTTTCAACGGCAAGTCAGGAGAAACTGATTTAAAGCAGACGAAACCGAGAGAAAAACACAGTAAACATGAGATTATTTAATTTTTGCCAGCAAAATTTAAAAATAAAAAAAGAAAAATTTAAATAAGTATTCAAGAAAATTTGTCTAAGTATTTTTTTAATCATTTTACCCGAAACAAGACAATAAAACCACTAAGACGTAAGGTGTTACTGAGAAAAAAAAAACAAAAGGAGCAAAAATAAGAATAAATATTCAACTTTAAAATGATGAGACCTCGCCGCCAATCTAGTACTGCGCTGAAATTCATAAATTCTAAAATTGAAAAATGCCCATTTCTAATCGTAAAGCTGAGAGAATACGAAATACGAGTAATAATCGATTGAATAATCCATAGTGTGATCTCGAAAGAAAACCAACTATTGATGAGTGAAATTGATTTTGATTATTTATAAGAATGTTATGGTTCAAAACAAAGCTTACATCTTTCTGAGAATAATTTGTTAATTAAAAATCTAATTTGATGAAAAATAGCAATACAATAAGTTATGCGCCTTTTTATTGAATGGCAGAAATTCAACTTAGGTGACCATTTTTATCCACTTTTACTTTTAACTCAAATAGAAAGTTTAGTGTTTATATTGGTCATAAAATATAAAAATGATGATTCAGATTTAGTCGCACTGTTATCGTATTTTTGCATTAAAAAAATGATTCAGCTAAAATTGTCATTTTAAACCATTATTATTAAAAAAAGTCTTTGTAGAATAGATTTTTTTCAACATAACTTATAAACAAAAACATTCACCATGGAATTGACGCTATTCACATAAATTGTGAATGTCTACATACACTGAAAAGTGACCTTTCCATAAGGAGCTTAGTTGTAGAACAAAAGAACTTTAGGTTTTATCCCAAATATCTAGTAAATAAACAACACAGAAGACAGACATGTTGGCTGAAATGGAGTTTCCTTATTTATAAAAAGACAGTTTTGTACTTTTAAATCTGTGAACGCCGAATAGATTGTTCGCTGCGAATCTAAAAATGGATGACATATCATATTTCCGGTATGTCTCAATAAAATACAACTTGAATGTGTTTTCAAACCGTCAGTGATTATGTCTCTTTATGCCAATAGTTTTTTTTTTTTATTTTCCCAATTATATTTCTTTTATCCAATGATTTCTCTCTATTCTTTCTCCCGCTCTTTCTTCATGTTCTCTTTGTTTTTCACCCACTGCCTGCTCACTCTATCACTTTCTCTTTTCTAATAACTGTTTTTCTTTCTTTTGCCTCCAATTCATTCTTTACAATGTTCTTTTATTTTCTCTTCTCTATTTATTCGTCTTTATTTTCTCATTTTGTTTTCTTTTTCTTCGTCAATCCATTTCTGCTTTCAGTCGCTCATTTTGCTTCTCTTCTGTTTCCCATTCTATTACTACTCCTCCTTTCCTCCCCCTCCTGTTAATCGTCTTTTTTCACCCTTTCCTCTTTTTCTCTTAACCTTTCTTTAGATTTTCCTGATTCCTAAATTGGAAATTGTTTTAATAGTAACAAAAATATTTCCATTTCTTTGATACTCTCATCTGAATTCTTCAAATATTCATATGAACTTTTCTATTCTTCATTATTTCCTAAATTTCTTTTCTGCCAATTGTCTTTTAAAATTAACGCTTGACACACTTGTTGCCTTGACAACAATATGTTTCGTTGGCACATGTTGGGAACGGATGAATGTTGTGATCCCAATTCGTCCATTTTAGTAAAACACGAAGAATTCGCCGCGATAAACCTTCTTCATGTCTCGATTTATGACACTTTCGACTTTCTTTCAACGGTGATATTTTCATATCTATTTAACCATCTCTCTCTCTCTCTCTCTCTCTCTCTCTCTCTCTCTCTTTCTCTCTCCCTCAACCATCGCTCTCTATCTCTTTCCCTTCACTGGATATTTCTCCCCTCTCTCTCACACATTTCTCTCTATATATCTCTTATTCTCTCTTTCCTTTTACTCTGTATTTTCTTTCTCTATTTCCCTCCACTCTATACTTTCTTTCTCTCTCCCTCTCTCTCTCTCTCCCCATATATATATATATATATATATTCAGCTGTATGGATATGAGTTTGTGACCTTGGGTTTCCTGTTTTTGCGATCATCATACAAACTTTTGGTCTAATGATTGCAAAAGCGTGAAACCCAAGGTCACAAACTCATATCCATACAACTGAATATGTTAATATCAATGATATTGAGCACTTTCCATATAATATGTATAAAATTTATATATATATATATATATATATATATATATATATATATCACATTAAGTGCGATATTTTTTATATGAATGTCTTTGCATTATATCTTTTTAGTGTTTCCTACCTATTTGCATATACGTCCTGATAATTTTTTTTTATTTATTTATAGCTATAGGTTCGTTTTTTTTTTTTTTTAAGTTAATCCCCGTTTATTTTAAATATAAAATATAAATCCCATTTATTTTAAATACAATTTAAAAAAAAAACAGTAATCCCGGTATAATATATGGACTGCCCCAACATTTCCTTAACCAGATATTTTCATTCAAATTTAAATTATGTAACGGTCAGTCTGTAATCAGCACTTGAAGATTGTGTTGTTCATGAAACTCTGAGTCGTGCTACCAGTGAGGAAAAATGTATATTTATGAATATATATATATATATATATTTGTCAAATTTTCTCAATTACACAGCGACCCTTTCAGTAAATGTAGTTCAATTTTACTTTCCTTCGCCCCATCTCTCTCCCTCACCTCGTCTTTCCCTCCTTCTTATTCTGACATTAAATCGTCTATGGTGTGTGTATGTCACCACGAAATGTATCTTTATGCATTAGACATCCGACAACATTTATTTTTCTCTTACTTAAACCCCTTCCACTCACCTCTCCTAAAATTCTCTCTGTTAAGGTTTAATCTCCCTCCTCCCCCTCATACTTACACTCTCTCTAAATTCTGTTTTTATTTCCGGAGTTGTTTTTTTCTGTTTTCTTTTTGAATTTGTAAGTCTGATGAATTGGATCGTATTTACGATTCCAATGGAATAAATTATGACCATGGAATATTAGTGTTTAAGCCTTTTTTTATATATATATATATATATATATATATATATATATATATATATATATATATATATATATATATATATATATATATCCTTTCCTATTGATTATGTAATCAACGTTAAATCTTTTCAATTAACCTTCATTTGTTTATCATTCCTACTTTTGATATTTCCCAGCAATCAGATTAAGACATTCCTCACTCTCTCTCTCTCTCTCTTTTCGCTTTCAGTTTCTCCCTGCTCCTTTGCTTTTCGTTTTTTCTCATCAACTTCTTTGTCCTTTACTTCACAATCTTCTAGTTTATTTCAATTACTCTCTCTCTCTCTCTCTCTCTCTCTCTCTATATATATATATATATATATATATATATATATATATATATATATATATTATATATATATATATCTTTCTCGCATACACACGCCCACACACTCACTTACTCTCACTCATTCTTTCTCCTCCCTCTCACATACACACACTGTCTCTATCTATCTATCTATCTATCTATCTATCTATCTATCTATCTATCAGTTTCATTATTATCATTTTTATTTATTTAATTTTTATTTTTCTTTCTCTCTATATATCTCCGTCTATCTCAGCATACATATATCTATCTAGCTATCTAAGCATATTCATATCTCTAGTGATATCTAGCTAGCTAGCTAGCTCTAGTTATGTCTATCTATCTCTACTTATATCTATCTATCTCAACTTATATCTATCTATCTATCTCTAGTTGACTATCTATCTAGTTATGCCTATCTATCTATCTATCTATCTATCTATCTATCTATCTATCTATCTATTTCCAAAATGAAATTCGAGTGAAAAAGTCAGTAAGTGATTTAACTTTCTTTCCACATCATGTAATTTTTTAAAGTCTGGCTCTTTCTCGACAATCAGAATTTAATCGACATCATTTTTAAGAACAATTACCTCATTTGAGCCAGAAATAAAAAGAACGGTTGTGAATACAAAATAGATGTTAGAAAAAGATGTGTAGAAATGCGTGATGTAAGAAAAAGTTAGAATGGCGTATTTAATTCTTAGCTAGTTTTCCTTTCATCTTATTTTTTGTTGTTTGTATAGCAACGGTTAGATCGCTTTTGAATTCTACGACCGTTAAGTTAGCAGCATGGATTCGAAGTACTGAATCATCTTTTGATATTTATACAAGCATCTCATAATTCATGCGAGCTTGTCTGACTTAGAAAACGCATTACCAATTAAGCTATAAAAGCCAATAATCAGACACCATTCAAATTTAGAACTACTTTTTTTTTTTCCTTTATCTCATTTACACCACGTTTTATTTTGATTGTTTCCACCTTTCAGTCTTAAGTTATCGGAATGTTTTACATAAACAACGTCATTATTAATTTTTGACTCTTTTGTTTTTGCGTTTTTCATTATTCAGGGTTGCAAGTTTCTCAAATTCCCGGTAGGATACCATTACTATCAGGTCATGTCTATTTTTAAACACCGTCTTAGTTAACTTATTATATTCAGTCTTTATATGATTGGAATTTTTTCTCATTTCTTCCTATTTTTATTGTATTTGTCTTTCTTTAATGACTATTATTATTATTGTCGATATTATTTGCACCTTCACACCATATACGGTGGTTGTCAATGAAGGTTGAGTGACAGTGGTACACAATGGATCCCCGATTGGTTAGAGCATCTGCGTAGTCAATTGAATTGTAAATGATTTTATCTGGTCCTGGAATATATTTGTCTCTATTTGGTAATTATGAATATCCTTAATTATTGAGATGTTTAATTCATTTTCATCTTTTAAGTTATATTTATTGTGCAAATAATCCTAACAAAATGGACAGCATGTGAGAATGCAAGAAGCAAACTGAAAAATAAACGCAACTGAATGGAAAAAAAGAAATTCATTGCCAGTTGCAGAATATTTTTCTTCTTACTTTTATTATTATTATTATTATTGTTATTGTTATTATTTATTTATTTATTTATTTATTTATTTATTTATTTTAAAGCGCAAATTATAGTTTGTGTTCATAACATTTTTAAGTGGACCTCCCGCCATCCAGATAAGCAAAGATTTCGATGATGGGAAAATACGAGGTTACTGAAACCTTCATAGGCTGACTATGAAGGAGTTATGGTAGAATTGTGAAATCTTGCATGCATTAATTTCAACTCTTCTTATTAATAACGGCATTGTTTCTTTCCTGGTACGAGGGTGGGCTGAAAAGTTCATAGGCTGACTATGAAGGAGTGATGCTAGAATTGTGAAATCTTGCATACATTAATTTCAACTCCCAAAACATGTTAATGTCATATCCATTCAAAACCTTCACAAAATTCTTTTTTTATTATTATTATCTGGTAATCACCGTGACTTCTCTGATAAGATAAGAGAGTGCTTTTGCGTTACCTTCGTCGCGGTTTTGTATTTAAAGTAATCCTTCTCCTAGACTGGCTATTAACCAAGGCTATAAAGGCCAGTTTATCATGATAAAAGGACATGAGTATGAAAGTGAATTCAAATAGACTACGCTGGAATTTGAACTCGGTTCGCCCATTCTACATTCCGTGTTAATAACTGTTACACTACCCAAGGAGTCATCAAAATATTAGCATTCCTTGAACTGAAAAACCACTGAACTTATAGAAATGGAATCAACCAGATGACGTGAAATCAAAAAAGGCTGTGACAGTGACAATGTAACTATGGCAGCCATGGGACAAGGCTTTGGGTTTAATAGTAATTGGATCACAGAATTATTTTTGTAGCTAAAAATACAACGGCAAATACTTTGAGTTTTTTTGTTTCTCGGTTAATGATAGCAAATATTGCACCAATTCACGATACTATGAAGGTTACAATTGGTGGGTACACGTGTTTGAGTAGACATTCCATTTTTAAGTAGGGAAATCCATATTTACCCGTCTACTGATCTAAATTCTTTTTAAAGATGTGCCTGATCGAATCTCCATTTCTCTTTTTATTTCTAATTTTAAAAATCACCTTCAAAGTATTAAGTTAGGATAAGCCATAACGTCATTTGTCTATTTAAGAAATTCACATTCCTCGTAAGGACCTTTCGAAATTCAGTTTTCATAACTTTATATTTGTACCTCAACGCAAACAAAATAAGCAGTTTTTTTTATACTAATGTTCACCCAGTGCACGACTCAAGAACCACTCGAGATAGAGGATTACGGATTACTGTATGCTGCTGTATGAATGGAAGAAAAAGGCAAGAAGTACAATTTATGTAGGAAAGATAATGGTTAATCCCAGACTTGAAAAGGCTAAGATTTTATTTTTTCCTGAAGACTGTTCCATAAAGCAGCAGTCCTTGGGAAGAAGCTATTCGAGAGTAACTTCCTCCTTACTAATGGAATACGAAGGGAACGAGGATGATTTATCCTTGTATAAGTGGCATGGTGGGTCCAAGATTAGGGTTGGTGGCAAGGAATGTCGCTCGTCAGAACACATGCAATGGAAATAACGATTGAGTAGAGAAACGCTTGCGACGTTTCATCTGTGCGAAAAGTTGTAGAATTGAAAATAATTCCTCATCCATAAGGCCGGCTAAATGCTTTTGAACTCTATCAAAACAAGCAACTTGGAAGTTACAGCCCAGATATAGCATTAATACTCCATTTTCTTATTTCATTTGGCTCTTATAAATATAGAGTATAGAAGGGAGTTTATGGATGTTTTCATCCGACTTTATTTCTTATTACTATAATTGATATTATTGATAATAAGAAGAAATAATATAAGACTAAAAAGTGCATTAATTGCTTAATCATCACATTTCAATTCAACACTGGTGCCACTCAAGCCATCAGTCAATGGATTAGGTTTCGAAGTGGTCGACCAACAATGATCCCATTATTGAAGGTTCCGATTACTGCACTTCAACTGTACCAATGAACATCCACCACATGTGGTTTGTTCTGCTGGAATTTGTATAGAGTGTACAGAAGGAAAGAAACTGAGGATCTCGCTTGACAGGCGTGATAGAAATAGAAATTACTGCTCCAAACATTGGTAACGTTTTATGCTCGCCATTTTTGCAGGTAGAGACGGTTCGTTTCAACAAGGTATGCCAACCTCTATACCATCGTGCACAAGTAACACAAAAATGATTCAAGAAAATACTCCATTACACCCCTACCAGATTTAGCCCATTGAGCATGTAGGCGAGCATGTTGCAGATCCTCCTCCTACAGACACGCTCAACAAACAAAACTCATGAACAACTCTGGTACATACCTGAATAGATATACCCACACAACGATTCAATATCTCGTATATTCTCTTCCACGACGTGTAACCGCCGTTATTCAAATGAAGGAAAACATTATTAGGTTATTGTCTCTTATTTTTAAGCTCTCCAGGTTTAATAACGTTCTTGTAAATCTGGTTCACTAATCCGTTAATCTTACAAATTTCTATCACTAGCCAATAAAGAAATGCGACCCTTGCTTCACTGTATAATTCTTATTCATTTCATTTTTAATTTAATATTAATTTTATTATTTCAATAAAGTTTTGAATTTCTTTATTTGTATATAGTTTAATAGGAAAACGGTGTAGATAGTTAAACGTTCACTCGTAAAATTTGATGTTTTTTACGCAGTTTATGGAAAGCAAAGAATTCACAGAAACAGAAAAATTCAAAGAACGATTCAGAGTAATTTGTGCATTATTGATTTTCATTTTTTTTATAATAAATTTGTCTTGTTTGCGCAATAGATTGTTTGTAAAAATCATATAATTGTACGTCAGGTGCATGTTTTTTTTTTCTATATCAATTGAGGAATATTATATCAAGTGAGACGCTCTTCAAATGTTAGCATTTGGAAGAAATAGGTTGTTTTTGCCTTTATACGCGTTCTGCGTAGTCATTGTACTCATAAATTTGTTTGATGTTATAGTTCATAAGTTAATCTTGCTTGACTGCAGATATAAAAACCCTGACCAGTTATCCAATTTGTAATTATTATTTCTGTTTTCCTGACAAACAGCTGTAACTTGTTCATCTCAATTCTAGTCCTAAATACATTCATTCCAATAAACACGTGATTATCGAAGTTTTATAACAAGAGTTCAGTTATTAAGTGGTCACTTTCCATTGGAAAAGAATGATTGATAATCGTGAGTCCTGCAATATTTTCTCCTTTGACAGAGAAGAAATATCCTCATGCAGTAAAATGAGGTATGAGAATTTATGTGTCTTTCCACGGACAGAAAATGAAATGGCGAAAACCTCCTTTAAAAGACAAAAAGAAGAATCTATTCCTAATTAAAGCTGTATGAAAGTATGAACTTATCATTGCAAAATGACTTTCAGATTACCTAAGATGTTTGAAGATATTTTCTTGCGATAAAGATAAACAAGGCAAAAACGCTACCCTATTACATTTCTCTGATAATTGAAAAACATTTTTAAATTAGTGTACATAAAAAATATCTTCAAGACGTCCTCTCGGACCTTTCTATCTTCTCTAATGTGCCATGTTCTTTCTGGACGTGGACAATCATGGTTCTCCACAACTTTTATCTTTTGTAGCTCATTCGGTAGATTACTCGTTGTCTCTCCCCCCCCCCTCTTGCCTTCAATATATAAACGTCGCATTCTCCAGGTTAATTTTAAGCACATCGTTCCAAATACAAAATGCCAGGATGTTTTCAACAAAATTTTCTCTACCACATCGACAACACCCAGTTCTTGATAATGACTGAGATTGTCGAAAAGAAAAACAGAACAAATCACAAACTTCATATAGTTTATCCAGGGATTGTTGTTAGATAGAAAGTGAAATTAGCCCTCTTAACATAGATGTCTATTTCAGTTTCATTCAAATTTCCTGTGTATGTATTTTTGCATGTGTGCATGTAAATTTTCATTCAATGACAGACCTAAAAATATGTCCATAATTAAAAAAATAATAATCGCATTAATTACCGAATAATTTTCGAAAATTTCAATAAAATGATATAATAATGAGTTTTTAGGGTTTAAAAATAAACGATTTCTTTTTTCCTGATCTGTAATTTTATTGATCAGCTTTGGGTAGAAGTTGTTCAGGCTGAATGAGAGTGGGAGTGGAAATGTATAATTCCAGTGGCTTTTTTTCAAACTACTGTCAAATTGTGTATGTGTTTACGTGTACTGGTGTGCACATTATGCACTTTGCATACACAGACATATAGATTATATACGCTCATACAAGGTCATACACATTGTATGACGGACAGAGTATCAGCTCTTCTTTTATAATAGACATTTTTATGACATCTATTTTCTGAATTAATGGCAACCATTTATCAATTTACTAACAGCCGTCAATTTTGTTTCAATATTTCCTATGGTGGATTAGTATTTATTTATATAGAATATTCTTGTTCTTGTCTTTATTTTAAACAAATTTCATTGCATGTATCTTTATCCAAAAAGACAACAAAAGACTGCATGAATTATGCAACAACTTTTACTGAACAACTTTGTTATCGGTCGTTATTGCATCCTTGCTATTTACACTGACAAGAATCAGTGTTATGCCCAAGGTTTCTGCTTTTATCATTCGTAATCATTCATCGCGAACCAATGGCCAGCAGTGAGCGCCAACTGCCACATTCAATTTTAACTTCCCCGAGTCGGTCCACTTCAAAATTGAAGCTCACATTAATTCATTTGCAATGAAGACTAGAATACCCCGGTTTTGCAAAAAAGAAAAAACGGACCATGAACGAAACAACGAATCAAATTTGGTTAAAGTTTGAAACTGTTGGTCGAATCAAAAACAGAAGAAAAACTTTATAAGTTTGTTTCTGTGTGCGTTCAAAAACTTATTTTTGAAAAATTGTTTGTGATATTCCATTCGTATAAAGTAACATCTGAAAATACGAAACCAAATCAATATTAGAACATTCAACAGAGAAATCATCGTTTCAGGCACCAAATTTTAGTATTGTTTTGGAAAAGTCGGGTCCTTAATGAACCGATTATTTCAAAAAATGTAAATTATGTGCCGGATTTGATCGCCAAAAATTGGCATGTAGAATTGCTGGATACCAAAAGAAAAGACCTATTCTGGACTTTCACAAAAATAGGTTCTTTAAAAAAAAACTAAAAAACTTGTATTTGAAGAATATAGATGCACATTGGTGCATAGAGAGAAAAAAGGAAGTCAATGCACATTGGGGCAAAGGCAGAACATAGAAAGACGATGCACATTAGGTCATAGACAGAATAAATCATTTAAGACCAAAAAGAAATTTGAGATTCAAAGAAATAAATCTAAAATAGAAAACAATATTATTAGAGTTTTGATTTTAAATTTTCCTCTTATTCTTTAGTCTCGCGTTCTGTAACAAATTCCTGTCATCAGTTTCCTTTTTTTGTTTTCTTTTTCTTTTCTTTTTTTTCTTTTTTTTCTTCATTTTTCCCACCGGCCTTTCTTTTACAAACATTATCTCCTTTTTATCAGTCACTTTGTCATTGTTTTACGTCATCTTCTCCCCATTTTCATATCCTCTTTATATTGTCGTCTTCCTTCCCTATACTCCTCTATCTATATCCATTAATCTCTATATCCTCCTCCTCCTCCTCCCTATTCCTACGTCTTCTTCCCCCTCTTCATATCCTCCTCCGCCTCTTCTTCTTAATTTTCATATCCTTTTCTTCTTCTTCTTCATATCCTCCTCGACCCTTACACCCTTTTCTTTCAAATTATTCTCCTCTTCTGTTTATCACTTCTCCTTTTTAGTTTCTACATTTGATTAAGTCTTGCTCTGAATTAATAGTATTTGAGTGAAAAGAAACCAAAAACAAAGCAAGTGAATGAAAAAGAAAATATGCAAAACCCTTCCGTTCATTGCAACGCCTACTTCCCTGGATATCGTTTGAAAGCTTTTGGTCACTATTGTTATATTTCCCCCCAATTCCAAGCAGACTCTGGAAAGTCAATTGAAGACTGACTAACAACTCAGCCAACTTAGCCTTTCTAACATTAACTCTTGTCTAATGATTATAAGGAACAGAACAAATAAATAATGTTTCATTTTTACAGAAAGTAACTATGTTGAACACCAAATAAAGCGATGAAGAAAATTGAAAGAGACAAAGAAAGAAATTTATTTTCTAAAACGAAAAAAGTTCTTCAATTTCAGTTTTAATCATAAAATCAGAACTTACATTAATCGTGTTTGTTCAATATATCGATTTTATATCGATTTGCAATAAAAAAAAATTTACTAATTGAATTGCACTGCTAAAATTGTTTGCCATTTTTCGATAAAGGTCTTTCATTTTCCAGCCTGAAGTTAAATGATTTTCAATGGGTTATTGAGTAAAACAGAACTAGCCTTAGTATTAGTAGTAGTAGTATCTTCTAAAAGCATTTAACCAATGAAAGTGGATGGACACAAATAGAAGGGAAAAAAATTATTTCAGACCTGTTATTTCTGAGTTCCTCTCTAAGTTCCCCACTCTCTCTCTCTCTCTCTCTCTCTCTCTCTCTCTCTCTCTCTCTCTCTCATTTAGTAAACGTATTTCTTATAACTAAAATACACCAATTCAGTTTCAATTACTTGCATGAGCCCAAAGAGATACTTGCTCACTTATTTTCCACACAACTTTGTTCAATGTAATCGTTTCAAGTATCGAGAGTAGTATCCCGTTGTCCTCTCTGACTTGCTCTTCCTATCTCTTGTGTGTTCTTTTGCTAAGGAAGTTGCTGCCATTGCAGGATTTATACACAAAATTCCGTTCTCCTTCTGATTACATGACCCAAACAGTTTAACCTCCTTCTTCTAATCAGGCCCATTATGTCTGTATTCATATCTAACTGTTATTTTAAGACAGCCATTTTGATTCTGGCTTTGATATTTTTCCCAACCGTTTCTCTAAGAAAGTTCCAAAACTGAAAACCTTTGTATGTCCTCTTTTCTCATTGTCCAGATTTCACGGGGATGAATTGCTGTGGGTATGATCAGATCTCAGTAGAGCCTAGTTTTGATGTAGTATAGAATGTCTTTTCTTTCTCAGATCTTTTCCTTCAAAGCGTTTATGACTTGTACTATTATTCCTCAGATGTAACTGGAACAACTGATCCTAGAAAGGCGATTTTTTTTCAACCGTTTCATCATCTATCACAATGTTCTCATTTACGTTTGTCATTACTTTGAATTTGGCTGAGTTTACTTTCGGTCCCCATTGTCTAGCAAAGATTTCCATGTCCTTTTATAGACAGTTTTCAGTTTGCCAAATATTTGTGGAGTAAGTGTGGCATCATCAGCAAATCGAATGTCAATTGAAAGGCTCTGTTTGATTGATCGCCCATAACAAATTCTTAGAGTATGTTGAATTGTGTTTGGGGTAATATGCAACCTTATCTGACTCCAACCTCAACGTACTTTCTTTTATTATTTCACACGCCTTCATTTTACTGCCTTTCTATATCTTCTCTCGCTGTCTTTCTCCCCCAGATACACGTGCCCAGGCACACACGCGCGCACGCACACAGATCATTTCTTTAACTTCATTTTCCCTCTTACTTTCTCTTGTTTTCATCTCTTTAGACAGCATCTTTTCTAAGTCCCAAGAGGTTTTCACTTGAGATTCCAACAGAGCCTGCCATGACAGATTTTCGACGACATGCGCCATTTAATAGAAATACCAAAAAACAACGGTATGAATCGAAAACCTACAGGTCATCGATTTCAACCTACTTATATACTAACACTCTCTAATACTATTGTCTTAATCAAAACATGGAAAGTAAATACAGGAGAAAAACATCGATGGATCAGCTTTCTAAAACAATAACTATAAACAAAATATTAAAAAGGTCAATTGATATTTCATGCCAAGTTTGTAAGACACAGGAATAAAATAAAAATGTATCTGGCTTGCAAAATATGTCATTTTCTTTGATATCGAAAGTAACCAAATAATGGTTTGTTACCCATTGTTACAAGTTAATGTGGCACATCAATGTAACACATGGCCGAATGAGAACAGATCACGTAATCAGTAAATATCATTATTACACATACACATAGTTTCATCTAGGAAAATGTATAAAACCCGATCGGCTATCTACAGGTGAAAGGCAGAAGAGAAGAGATTTCGATCGGTTCCTGCTGGCAACACACACACACATCCACGCGAAAAATGAGTTCCTTGTTTAAATAAAGAAGACATTTTATCGTGAGTTAAAATTCTTATTCTCTCTCCAATGATTCAAAAGAGAATTCTCAAGTAAAAATACAGAAATTCGAATTACATTTCAATTTATACTATTAAAACATTGGCCTACAAAACTGAAACATTTCATCAGATTGTTTTACTATAAAATTTATTATAATTATTGCTGTGAAATCTATTTCGATATATTACAATTGATATTGTCAAACATGTAATAATATATCGAATAAGAAAGTTTCCAAATATATTGTTCAATCCATCATATTGTATTCTCAAAAAATAGAATATCATTATAATATAATAATTATAATCATTTTGTATCTGTGGCTTTCTGCTAGAATGTCGTCAAGTCACGTATCCACATTTTAGCTATAAAAAAATGACATCGCTTTAAATTAGCTTACAAGACTCTTTTGTCGTCATTGTCATTTTGGAAGACAAGATCACTGATCTGCAGCAAATGTTCCATATAGCAGAACTTGCTAACCCAACTGCAACAATTTCCATTGTTCATTCGTACGATATATTGTCTGATATTTTCGAATAACAGGCGGATGTTGATGGATTGAATGATTCATTTTCTACTGCTTATCAACCCTTTGCAGGTTATTTTAAGCCAAAAATATTTTTAGACTGTAAGAATTTTTTTAAGATATGGTTTAGTGATACAGATCTTACTAATCAACCCATAGATGAGGAGAGAAGGGGTGGATTCATACCTGTCCGAAGTGTAAATAAATATAACGAACTCAGCTGGAATTGGAACTTGGTTCTCCGATTAACAATTTCGAGCCATTATCCATTGCACCACCCGCACATCTAATCTTACAACACCTGCTATTTCTAATCGGTGGATGTTCAACTACTATGATTATATATATATATATATATATATATATATATATATATATATATATATATATATCGCTGTTATTCACCAAACATCTCCTTCAAAGAAATCAGCAAAATATATTCAAATGGCGATTTCGCTTGTCATCTTTCTGAAAACAGTAATCATTTTCTTGGGTTACATACTTATCAGATTGCTGCAAAGCAATTCGGTTGGTGAATTGATTGTATTTAAAATAGTCCCCCCCACCTATTCAGCTACTCGGCTGCGTATTTTCTTCCATGGCCTGGTGCAATTCGTTCTGATCCAGTTCCTATTGTCCAGTATATCAAACAAATTGCGTTGGAACTTGGTCATGATCCACGCTTAAGGTGTCGGACACAGCTTATTCTCCAAACGCCTCCTTGATTCAGGCTTCAAAGTCGTTCTCATTTGATCGTCAGAAAACAATATTTTTCCTCGTATTATGAATGATTCAATGTAATAACAACGAATGATGGGTCGAGTATACTTTTTGTATATTATTATCTATATTCTAAATTGAAAAACTTCACAAGCATTCTATGCTTGGAACTTCCTGAACTTTCTCTGGTATGTGGGAACTTTCTTCCCAGCCTAATAAAAACTTTCGCTTGAACATACGCTTAAAGATAAGCTTCACATGCACACAACTATTTGCTAATGGATTTAGAGACCTAAAAGATATAATATATATTTTCGTGTAAACAGGAAGCAATTATATTCATGACCATTTTGACGCGAGAGTGCAAAGAAACGCCACATAATTCAATTACATAGCGAAACAGAATCCGATATGCGCAAACATAACTCAAACTTACATATACTGGCACTGATATACACAAGTCGGCAAATAAACTCATCACTTATCTGTAGATAACACACATACGTCCTGAAATAAGAGGACACATTACTATTCATTAAGATGAAATACATTTTATATTGGATTAAAACAATTAGACGTCCAGAGATAAAAAAAAAAAAAAAACTTGGGGAGACTGAAATTTGGGATCTGATCACGAGGGACAAAACCTTATTCTCTTTTTTTTTATCTTCACTGCGAAAGTACAACATTCTTTTAATGTTAGCATATTTTATAAATTCGCGTAAGGCTAAATTTTGTCTGTGTGTCTCCATCTTACATCAGTAAACCAAAAGTGCCCTCATCTTTAACATTACATATATATATATATATATATATATATATATATATATATATATATATATATATTAATAATATTTAATTTGCACAAAAACTTTTAAGCGTATATTCAAAATATATCATCTGCCTGCCTTGTCAAAATTCTGTCATAAGTTAGCAGAAAAAAATAAAAACATATTAAAATTTTTATAGAATTCTATAATTTTAGGCCTGGCAACGTTAGTTATGATCTTATTTCCTGCAACGTTCGTAGTAACCAGTGTTGCCGTCTGACATTTGGCATTACTACAAGTTAATCGAACGGAAACAAAAAATAATTTACCGGATTTTCTAAATAAATCATAATAATCTATTTAATTAGATTTTCTTTTAAAAAAGGAAAAATAGTGAATTTTTTTAATTACTATTATTATTATTATTATTATAAACAATCGAAAATTATTCAGACGTTTCTGTCATTGTCAGCTGTATGTAGCTCTGTCAAGAGTAGGCAATTCAAACGGACTTAGGATAATGATAAAAGAAACATTAGAAAAAACATCTTTTGCTAAAAATGTTGTTTATACAATACTTTTATAGAGATAATAAACTATTATAACTTTCTTTTTTGCTGTCCATGGGAAAGGTATTCGGCTGATTAATTACCAAAGTGTTTATAATTGGAAAATCGTTCAAAAGAATGCAATTAATGAAGATTTTCACAAGCAGCAATTATGGATATGTTTATACATTATTATATATACAAAAATCAAAACAGTTTCTTTCGAGCTTTTTTTTACTTTTGATTTTTTTGTATACACATTTATTTTAGTTTAGCTATGCTCCTGATTATTTATTGTGAGTGCAAGGTTAATTTTAATCTCAACTGTGGTTCTATGGCCATATATTTTACCACCTTACGCCTACTGGTGTTTTATTAAAACAATATTTATTTTTAAGACATTCGATGTTTACAGCCAAAAACGGTAAAGCTGAGTAATTTGTGATATATATATTTTAACTAGATGTAACTGTAAATTCTATGCTAACAGTTTCTTTTCTCGCACTTCTCGCTTGTGGAACACCCTTCCGTCTCCATGCTTTCCAGCCAACTTTAATCTGCAAAATTTTAAATGCAATGTCAATCGCTATCTACTGTCCCCTTGATTACTCTTTCCTCTTCCTGCTCATTATTAATGTTTGTGTTCCTAATTCTTCCACACCCTGTAACCCCCTTGAGTCTTAGAGGCTTTATTGCCTTGAATGGGGTGATACAGATTTCTTAAAAAATCTTTGTTGAGATATATTGCTTCTACACTGTAAATCCAAAACTGGTTGATACAAATAAAAGTGTTTATACGTTCAAATTCTTTTTATTACCTTACTATCAAGCAAGATATTCGTGTATGGAACTTTTGAGTGGAAGCACGACTTATATATTAGGATAATTCGATATATTTCAGTTCATTTTCTTCTTACTGAAATAATTTATTCACTTCGTCAAAAAATGGCGTACTACTTGATTAATTCTGCAGTTGCGTTGATTTTTTTTCAATACTTTCTAAATATTAAAGTGAACAAATTATATCTTATTCAATATTAAATATTTTCGATTTCTACGTCGCATGAAGAGTCCATTATATGTCGTGCGATTTTCTAAAAACGTAAAAAGAAATGGTTTTATTTTACTTGTTTACTATTAATTCTGTTACTTAATAATGCGCAATTTAATTACAATTATTCTCGTAAACAGTGGTTCCCAACCTTTTTTTAGCTCATGGCTCACTTTGAACCCAGAATTTTTCTGTGGCTCATGAATTTATTATAGCGTAAGAAATTACTTCCATTTTACATAGTTGTATCTTTATTGGATATAATCTATGTCTACTGGACACACATTTTCACAAGCAACTAAAATATTTCGCAACTCCAATGAAACGACGATTTATTAGCAATATTTATTTTTATAATTTTTCTATATATGGCACAAAACAAAAAGAGTAGCCAATAAAAGCCCTAAAATTCTAAAACTTCTGTGGCCCAGCTGATAACTGGCATGGCTCATTTTCACCATGTGGTCAAAGGCTGGTAAACACAGCTCTAGAATACACTGGTCAACCGTTTTCTTTAGTGAAACATAATCTTTGTTATATATATATATATATATATATATATATATATAAGTTTTATAATATGTAAAATATAAGTTAGTTAAGGACAAACGAAAGGGTACCAATATAGTCAATGCGATAAACATTTATTAAATATTGATTATTAACCATATGACAAAAACGAAACACGGAATGAAAAGTTTTAAGTTCGGAATTTTCGGACACGCCTGTGTCTTTCATCAACGGAGCGAGAAATAAACAGAGGAATGGGAATTACTCAACTCAGATGTTTTTGCAGACGGTGTATTTTCTGGTGGAAATTATATTAGCGAAAAACCCGATCTCTGTCTGATTCCTCGCTGTGCGAAACTTTTTTATGAAAATAAATTTAAGTTTAAAATTTTGATAGGTGTAAAAGCGTTAGACAGGTCTATTATTATAAGTGGGGGGGAGTAAGATTGTAAACATCGTTGAAGTGAGGTATAGGTTGGGAAGAAGAAAAGACGTTTTGTGTGTAGCCAGTTGTAGCCAAAAAATTGTCCAACCAAGTTGTCAAGTTTAGAAAGAGTGAATGTGCTTAGAACAACATTGATGAGAAAAAATGAGAAGGAAAAATGGAATATATTGTAATAAAATATTATTAAATGAAATGAAAAGAAAAAAGTGAAGGAAAAATAAAATAGATAAAAAATATGGATAAAAATTTGGAAATCTATTCCTAACAAAAAAAGGGGACTACAGATAATAAAATAAAAAATAATGAAGGAAAACTAGAGAGTATGCCTATGTATATATTGATGCGCATGTGCACATAAGAGTATGTAAATGTACACAAGCCACTACACATATTTCAATACATGTAAAGATATAAATACATATACAAGATTAATAAGTATCTACACGAACCTTCCATAAGCTTATATGTAAAGGAACTATAGTTATAGAACCAAAGATGGTATAAAAGAGGGTGACTGGAAAGTAGCCCTTAGTATACATAGCAATACTTCCATTACTGAATAGTGCGTAATGAGGGAAATTATAGGTGGCAGAACATAAAAAAATATAGTAGGTAGGAGATGGCTGTTAAAATTTGGAGTTAAAATGTGGGTGGAGGACCTACTCATTCGAGGAGTGGTGTTGCTGATAAGGTGTATCCTTGTGGAAATTATACTCTCTGAGTAAACCCAACTTTTTGTTTAGTCCCTTTATGTGGGAATTTACTTTTAGGATATACTTCAACTCCGATCTGCGTCTATCCTCCCGGCTACCGAACCCAGACGCTAAAAGCACGGACCCGACATCGTCGATGCTAGGACCAGGTTGGTTGAAGTGTACAGAAACCTGAAAAAATTTTGTTATTGTCCCTGATGTTTTTGGGGGGGGTTTTGTGCTTAATGAACCGTAAATGGAACTCTGTTCCGGTTTCTCCCTTCCTCGCGTTTGTGACAGAAAAGTAAATATACGAAATTGGAACTGTCACATTTTATAGCAGGTGGTCTGAATATCACGTGAGTACCGGGTGTGTACTAATTATATATATATATATATATATATATATATATATATATATATATATATATATATATATATATAATATAATCGATGGTCGCTCAGAAAGTAATGTTTTCCTATTTTATTATATTAGCCCGTCACGTCATGGGTTAGCGTTGGTGATATAACAGTAGATGTTGAACTTTCCAGCCAATAACCCATATTTTGTTGTTGACATGTTACGTATAGCAGCTGAGCATTTGCCCTGAAAAGTGCGAACCAATTTGCGCTCATTGACGTAAAACCAATGTGTTAGGTAATGCGATGACAGCGATGTGCGTGAAAAGGCGAGTCCCCTCTGCTAGAGCAGATTTTGTCCAAAGCTGACTAAAATGGATCGCCAAATAATGTTTTGTCGCTAAAAATTTGCGTTTTCCAACAATATACTTATCTGTTGTAGTTTCCATGCAAATAAATATGTGGCATTACTTTCGGGGCGTCGCACAGATAGATAGATAGATAGATAGATAGATAGATAGATAGATGTATATATCTCAAATTAGGCAATATCTAAGTAGTTGAAAAAGACAGAAATGATAATCACCTAGATAAAGTATATGTGTACAGAGAGTGTGACTTGGTAGACGACATTGTGTTTGCCTTATGAAATATTTTTCTATCTTGTTAAGTAGAGAACAATTGTAATGCTTTGATGCCTTCAACTTCATTAATTCCCGCCGTCCCAAAAATAGGACGGTAGACATTAATTAACCCAGAGTATTTGTAAACATATAAACTATCAGCTGTACGCAACCGCTTCCAAAGATCAATGGTGAAAAAAATGTATTTAAGCGAGTAAAGCTTGAGTGATCACAGCAAAGAACATTATGGACTGGTGCTACAGAATCACAAACAAAGAACTGTACCAAATAACAGAAACCACATCAATTGAGGATTACCAACAGCAGCATGGATAAAATGGATAACACATGTAACTCGAAGAGAAAATAATGATATAATCGAGATGTTAACATTCCACAGCACTTCAAATAGAAAATCGGATGGAAACCCAATCAATATTGAAAAGAGCGATAAACGCTGCTCGATTTTAGAAACCTGTTTTCGTAAAAAAAGTTATAAGAGAAAAATTTTATAAATTTCAACCGAAAGCAATACTGGATGCTCGGTCAATGAATACCAAATGTTTCCTTATAAGGAAACGGATAATATTACCATTACCATATAATTAATACTGAATTTTTATTTTATTGTTTATAATTAATACCGGATTTTACGATGGGTTTTCAGAAAGTAGTCAATATTCCTTCTTTCAAGTTTAAATAACTTTCTTATTCCTTATTTTTCCGCGTTTTTCCCCATGTGTTGTAGCATGGTCGATGTCACTTCACTAGTTTTATGCTTTCTATTATTAATGTGCATATGCGTGTGTACGCACGTATACACATATATATTTTTACATGTCTCGACAAATATACACGCATGCGCATTATCAATGTTTTTTATCCTTTCATTCACTTTTTTTGCCAAGGTTTTTGTTTGGCTGACATTTGTTCGACACAAAAATTGTGATTACACAAATCAAAAGATATAAAATAACGTCTTAATAGCATCAATTATAAAAGCATTGCAAAGCCAAAACGCTTGACATAGAATTTCTATTGACTTTCTTTCTCAAGCTTTTATATCCAAAAATAGCATCCAAAAGTAAGTAGTTTGTCTGTAAAGACAAATTCACTACATCCGAATAATTGCATTTTTATGTGTAAATGAATGCGCACATGCAGACACACGCATAGATGCACTCAGGATTTGTATTTTTTATATAAGGCGTGACTTTCTGTTTGGTTTATATTTTCGATTACACTTTGTCACCAATCGATGACGAATATTTGTACGTGTACTTCAGACTATAGCCATAAATCTGCGATATTAAGTGAAAGGCTTAAACAATTTCTTAATGATACAAACACTTTAGTACATGAAGAAGCGGAAACATGTTAAAAAATATCGTCGTCTAAATAAAAAGAAACTGTTGATGTAAATACTTTGTCAGCTTTTCGATCAACCATTAACAAAGTGTATTTATTTAAAAGATTAAACAAATAAAACAAAATTACCATTAAAGACGAGATATGGTTTTACCTCGTTTTTATTAGTAATTTCGATTTATTGTTTAATCTTTTAAATTTATTAATTCATCGTTGATATAGATTGATGGAAAAGATGGCCGCTTAAGGTTTATACTTCGTTTTTGTTTTTCCGTATAATTTTCAACATTTTCCATGCTATAGGTGAAATATTAAATATCATGAAATATTATTAGACATGAACTATTTTATGATAATGTCTGCAAATATTTCACTGACAAAAACAAATAATACACATTTGTTTTTCTTTTTGAAGATTTAATCACACATACACACTTGCTCTTTTCGTTATTAGTGAAAAATTGAGTCTTGTAATTTTTACACATTTTACTTTCGTTTTTTTTATGAGTCTGCCACTTAAATAAAAAAAAACAGTTTTAAAAGAAAAATTCAACAGTTCGATATTTGATAATCTTTGTACTTTTCTAATTTTCAACGAATTGAACCTGTATTTGTATTGATTAAACTCTGATACAACCAATTCAGTCAAATATGTTAAGAAAGAGAATTTTATTTCAATTCCCACACCACTTACGTACAACGAACGGCTCATCTTTGAAGAGGAAGCATATTAAGTAGAACTTCACATAGATAACTCACTTAGCTGTCCAAATCTAATAATATTTATTCAGTAGATAATTCATCCTTTTATCATGAAAGGTTCTAGATGCTAGAGTCATATCATTTTCTTAAACTTTGATTAAACAAAGACATTTTCCAAGATGTCACTAAACTGTATTAAGAGTCGAAGGAAAAGCAAGATAAACTAAATGTTGTCCTGGTTCCAATGGTATTTCTCCAGAAGTCACTGGCATTGACAAAACTGTGCTTCATTCTTTTATCAATGTTCAAAGTAAATTCTATTCTTGTATCGTAAATACGTGGTACATGTGAAAGAATATCACATTCTTAGAAGAATAGAAGATATGGATTTCTAGTTGAAAACTGATATACTGCGCTCGTAAAATTGTGACATCAAATCTCGTCTTCGACAAACATTCTAATGAAAGCTCTATTGCTGTTTCTCGTATATTCACCGGAATAATTCGCTTCTAAAAGCTAACATGGTTTCCTTTTCTTCTCCCCCACCCTCTTCTGATTACAGACGAGAGAAAAAAAAAGATGCATGAGAAATTCCACAAGATGGGATAATACTTCATCTATAAAATCATGCCACGGAAGAAAATTAATTCGAATTGAAGCTAAATGTTAAAATGGAAACTACAGGAAACAATAGCAATTCATTTACCGAAATTTGCCGGAAAATAGGTTTCTCCAGTTTACTGTTAACTTTCTTTTTTTTTTTAAGTATTGATTGGAGATTCCTGCGAAGTTCTTTTTCATTTTTGCTTAAAAGGTAGACATCTTTACTATATAAATTATTTTCTCTTCTACTTACATTTCTCTTGTTAATGCTGTTGGAAGTATTCAAGTGATGTGGTTTTTGTTATTTGGTAAAAATGTTTCTTTGGGATTTTGTAACACCACTCTATAAGGATTGTTTAGAGATGACACTTTAAACCAGTGTTTCCCAACGTGGGCGTTAGCGCCTCCCCCCCCCCACTTGCGTATTCTTATGTTAAAAGGGGGATCTTGGAGTTTTTATTTCATTTGGGACGGTGTGTATTTATACATTTTTTTTTTTAATTTTTCAAAAATATTTAATATATCTACAAAAATTAATTTCTGAAAAGTATCTAAAGCTGTGGGAAGCTATCAAATGTTTCTTCATTGCTTTACCAACTTCCTATATGACTGAATGTGGTTTCAAAGCACTTACACAGCTTCTTACTAAACAAAGGAACCGCCTGCAAATTGTGAAACGAGATCTACGATTCCTTCTAAGCAACATGGAACCTAGAGTAAAAGCCTTAGCCAGTAAGCACCAAAGTCAAGCATCGCATTGAAAACATTGAGATAAGCTAGACAAATAAAAGTTGTTTTATTAGCATTTAAATCATTGGTATTGATCACATAACAATATTAAAATTATTTTTGCACTAATACCAAAGTGTTATCTTGCTATGAAAAATGAATTCAGTATATTAGAAATTTAATTTGACAGCGGGAGTGACAAAAACGAATTGCCTAAAAGGGGCGCTGGTTGAAAAAAAAAAAAAAAAGAAAAGAAAAGATTGGGAAACACTGGTTTAGACATTTCTATGACGTGTTGAACGCCATGAATGACATCCATACGAGAGCCTCGATCTGACGACGCTATATAAAAAAATATGACTTGCGTTCTCAGGTTGATAGTATAGTTTTGTAGCATAGTGTTGGACAAAAGTAACCTTAGCGAAACTTATCGCCTATACTAAATTTGGTATGACTGACTTATACACCGAGGTATTTAAAGTGTTTAAAATATATCAATTCTATATTCTGAATTTTTGTGCTGGACTTAGGATCGACACCATTACCACTTTCATTCGAATTCCATATCATAGTGTTTTGGAAAAGTTTAATTAAAGTTCAACTTCTTGAAACACTTGCTAGAGAACGTTGATCTTTGTTCATTTTTATACCAACTAGGGACACAAAAACCAAAATAAGTTCCTAGACAAATTATAAACATTAATTAGAATAATGTTATAATTGGTACCGTGAGACATCGATTTCCAGATAAGAATACCAATAAAGGTCAACGACAGATGAATACTGATTGATCAGAGACCGTATATTCTTTTGCGGGATTGTCATCTTTCATTCTGATGCAATCGTTTGCTAATTTATTCGGAGTTATGATATTTCCTGAAAATATTCCTCTCCGTATATTTTTCTATCGCTGGAGACAATGTCGATTCCACTTTATCCCGAACTAGCGACAGAACCAAATCCACGGAAATTTTCCTTAAAAGATTCATAACTTCCAAACGAATGAATAAAAGTATTTTTAATTGTTTCACAAAAGAGGGAGAGATGTTTACATGGGACAGAAAATAAACTGTTCGTGGGTTGAACTATATCGATCAAGAATCGACTCAATGGATGAATAGGAGACTACGCGGAAAGAATTTATAGTAAGGGTCACCAAACTTTTAAGACCGGTGACCCCATATCAGATATTTAAAATATTATAGATTACTTATAAATGTATAAATAAGTCCCAGTATAATTATTGACCTATTTTATCATTATGATAATACTGGATATAATGCAAAAATAAGAATATAGTAAATAGGTTCCGCAAATTGGAGGAGAGCGTTATCAATTGTAATGTTCCGACTTCAAATCCGCGATTATCTCCCTTTAATCCTGTTTTTTTTTGTTTTTTTTAAATGTTCATTTTATCACCTAAAATGTAGTGAGCGCGAGCAAATTTTAATTCCGAAAATGCGACCCAGAGAAAAAAAAATTTGGAAGCCACTACCCTATATGAAACCAT